GTACCAGGAGTGACAAGAAATAACGCTCACAAGCTGGCAGAGGGTAGGTTTAAACTAGATATCAGGAGGCACTACTTCACTGTCAGGGAGGCTAGGATCTGGAACCAACTTCCACGAGAAGTGGTGCTAACTCCTAACCCGGGAGTCTTTAAGAGGAGGCTAGATGAACACCTTGCTGGGGTCGTTTGACCCCAGTACTCTTTCCTGCCATGGCAGGGGATCGGACTTCATGATCTGCTCAGGTCCCTTCCAACCCTACCAACTATGAAACTATGAAACCTGGTCCTGCAGGCCTCCCAGGGATGCAGCAGTGGTGATCTGGGTGCACAGGTGCATGGAGCCTGGCCAGCAACCAGAGTGTGACTGTGGCCGGCCAGGTTCCGGTTTCAGATGGCACGTGCTGCAGCCACATGCGCCACCCTGGTATTTTTGGCACGGGCTTTTTTTGACACCAGGATCAAACCCACTACACTATGCTAATTTGTAGCACGGCAAATGCATGCATATGTGGTATGTGCTGTTTGCAGTGCCACAGATGGGTTTGTGGCGCCACAAACTACACATGCTCACTCGTGGGGATGCACCCACATATGCTAACTTGGACTAACTTATAGTTAATGCAGCTACAAGCCTACTAAAGTAACTATAATGCATGTTAAAAGGATTCTATCTAGCTCAACACAAGGTTTTATACCCCAGGTTTCAAAGCAGAGTTTAGGGCCTTTGGTTTTTCTCTCACTTCTGGACTTTGCTGGTTGCCGCATGGTGCCAGGAAGGATTTTTCCCCTATTGTTACAGGTGTCAGAAGTATTTTTTTGCCTTCCTCAGAAGTGTTAGGGTTGGCTGCAGTCAAAGTTGGGGATTTTGACTGAGTGCGCCAATGCTCCTGCTAAAACTGAAACTTGGAGTCTCCTGGCTAGAGGGTCTTGCTTCTCGGTTCAGGGTCAGACCAATCACCACATCTGGGATCAGGAAGGAATGTTTTGCCTTCCTCTGCAGCAGGGGGGCCATCCCTTTTCCTCTTGAGAGTATTTTAACAACACTTTTCTGAGTCTGTGATACTATAAGGGATCTGAGAGAAGAAGAACCTAAGGACATGGAGGCTATAGTACAGGGTTTGGCTGTATTATTAAAAGGAATCTATCATTAAATGCTATCAAATGCTTCACTGTGCATAAGGGGTGTTCAAAGAGGAGCCTCACTGGGGAGCAAACTGTTTCCAGCCATGAGCTTAACCTGAAAGAGTTCTCATTCCACATGCTACCTAATCCTGGAGAAATATCATGCCTATTTATTTTGTAGTCTGCCTGCAAGTGTCTTAGGCAGTCTTAGAGACACATTGGAGAAGTTAAATTAACTTTGACTAGGCAGTATTAGGAGTTTCTTTGCCAAGTTATAGGAACAGGGGACTATCTAGCATGTGTGTGGACACTAGCAAGTGATGTTTCATCAGACAAGCTGACTGTAAAATTAAAGGCAGAAGGCAAGGTAGATTTTCACCTTAAATCAGCAGTTTCCAATCTGTGGTACGGGTACCACCAGTGGTACACAGACAACCTGTCAGTGGTACGCGTTAACAGATTTATTATAATTACTTTATATGACAAAAATTTGCTAGTGGTACTTAAGGTCATTTTAAATTAGTGGTGTGCAATCTGTCAGAGTTTGGGAACCACTGGACTAAATCGTTTGGAGCCAACCCACTGGCAAACTTGCCACAAATTAGCCCCATACCCTCTTCAAGCACCAATCCAATCCCCTTCCCCTACCCAACCTGCTTCTCTGCTTTCTGCTTCCTACCCTATCTGTCACTGTGATGCCTGTTCCTTCCCTGATCTGCAGTCTGCCACACACACAGAAGCTTCCTGTGCCACTTGTGGTATGTATGCTGCAGGTTGGCCACCCTGCACTAAGCCATAGATACATAAGCTTTCAGAAGCAGCAGTTTACATTATCAAATGCTACACAGGAACTGCAGCATGCAGAGCTCTTGTTCCTGCAGTCCCTTCATATAATCTGATTAAGTAAACTACTATTTATGAAAGCTTGTACATCCATAATTTAGTCTATAAGGTGCAAATGTACCCTGCCTTCTGGCTGCCTTCAGACTAACATAGCTAACTACTTCTTGTGAAAAGAAAGTCAATTAATCACATTTAATTAGAAAGTTTCACAATGAACCCATCAGTTTTTGGAGTTTATTGGAGAAGGAGAGCCTGGTTTCAATCTGTCTGAAGTTAATATATCTTCCAAGTGTATTTTCTTTTTCTGTTTTTCTGTGAAAGACTGCTCTCAACCATGACGTGAACTTGTTCCAGACAGGACACCGACTAGTTTCATTGATCTTTCTGGGATCTCTCTTTACACCAATGTCTTGTTTTACTGCTGTAGAGACCAAGTTGGGATGCCTGTTTTTGCAACCAAGGTCCCAGCTGGCATTTACCAAGCAAAATTTTTATCCAATTTTTCCCATTTTATGGCATTATATATATTTTTTTTTACTAAAAGAACCCCACCCTGCCAACAAATGAAATTGAATTGGTTGTTTTAAAACTGGGTTTGATTAACATGCATCCCTAAGTACATCAGATCAGAATGTCAACTGGCATAAATTGTGATCGCTCCACTGAAACTGATGAAACACTCTGTATGCCAGGACTTGGCCCCTCCTCTGCATGCTTGGCCTCTCTCTGTTTTAAGAAAAAATAAATTAATGCCACAGCTTCAACACCACAGAGTTCCATAACAGAACAGACAACATTCTTAACCATTTGTTTCCATCCATGCACTATTTGACTTCTGTTTATAAGTTCACTGAGGATGAAGTCCACTTGCGTAGACACCATGACAAGTTTCATTTTGGGTCTTCAAAACAGGGCTAATACGGGATTGAAGAGTTCCCTGCCCTGTGCCAGCATACCATACAGACTTTATTGGAAAACCCTCTTATATCAGTGCCAAACAACAGAAAGTAACTGTAAAATGCGAGGCAAAAATTTAACCTCACACATTTCAGTATCACAGAGTAATTGGGAGCGCAATCAAGACAGAATACAAATGAAAATTAGCAAGACAAAGCAGAAAGAAATTATCAGTATCTGGGTTATCAGCCAAATGACAGTTGTATAAAAGCATTATGACTACTGGGTTTTATGGTAATGGGTGTGGAAACTACTAGAGATTAAAGCTTAAGAACTAAAACTGGTCAAGCCTCTAATGGAGGTCTTGTATTACCTAGATTAAAACAATAAACTAGAAGAACTCAATTGCCATTGACAGTATTTGCATTGAGGAAGAATATCCTGAGATATGATCCACAAGGTAAGCACAGTGAATGTTCTGCCCAGGAAGAATCTATGGGTGCAGAGACAGGTTTTGCAGGAACCGCATGCAATCACTTCTAGGCAGAGGGCCAGTGTAAGGCCTGTGCACTATGTAAGCCCTCACAACAGGTCTTACATAGGACTTGAATGGTATATTGACCTCTGCTGAGTCCTCTGCAAGCAGGTGAATTTCACCCAAACAGCTGAAGCATTCTGTGCAAAACTAAGGGTAATTGCCCAATGATACAAAGACTAGTAGTTTCAGATATTGATGTGGATCAGATACTTGGGTCGATGAGGGGGGTAATATCAGATTTGTTTAACTTATGTTTTAGAAACTTGACCCTAGCTTTTAAAAGGCATTTTGGCATCTTGCTCACAAGACCAATAGGAGTTAGGCACTAGATTTAAGGATCTCACAACCTAGGTCATATTTTCACAGGGATATACTTCTTCATGGGGTTCTCCTCCCAGACTGGTAGAGTTGCCAGCTCTGAGGAGACTTCATTCTTTATAGGCCATCCCCAAGCCATGAAGAAAGGAGCCAGATTCTTGTTCACCTGCAGAGAAAACTTCTGAGCCCACATATTCATCTTGGAGGGGTTGTCCTTGGGGATGGTGAGGATCTTCTGGTATTCGGAGAAAAGCGCGATGAAGGGTTCCCAGCCAAAGCCCTCCTGCAGCTGAGGACCAAGGAGAGGGAAATGTTAACAGCACAGTTGTCTTCCACAGCTAGAACATGAGAGACTGCTTCATCCCACCTCATGCAACTTTTCAGAACGCAAATCAAGATTAAATCAACCTCCATATTCAGGATATGAAGACACTTCAATAAAGTACATTTAACCCTTGCAAGGACTGGTGGCCCTCACATCACAGACATGAACTATTTTCAAACATTACTCATCACAAGAGGTACACATTTTAATTAAAACAGTTCACATACTGCTAGCTGAGGCAGATCATAATCCTGTAAGGTTGACAAACTTTATGTTTTGCTTGCTGCAAACAAAAAAATCTCCCACTGGCATTACAGAATAATCCAGAGACTGAAGCTCCAATAGGACGAGCAATAAAGCCATCACTGCAGCCCCAGCAGCCTACCTTCACCCTTTCAAGAGAAAAGGGTGACTGGGCACGGGACAGGGAATTCAAGTTAAATGGTCAAGATTAGATTGAATTAGAGGGCTGGATGATAGTAGAATGGGACTGGTTAGGATATGTCTGTGTACTGCTACAGCAAATCATCATCTCTCTTGTTTTACAGGACCGTTTTGATTGTAAAAATTGTTCTACATCATCCACATTGTCATGAAATTGGTGCCAAGATAAATTCTTATACTTGCCGAAGAGTAAGTTGTGAAGGATCACCAAACTATGACAATCCTCTATTCAAATGAAAGCCTCCTAGGACCAGCAAGGTAACCACACAAGAAAAAAGTCTATATGGACTGGCTGGTAACTAACTAAGGGATCACTGGGTGAGAGACTTAGATCACCTGGTGAATATGACATGGGCAAGGTGGACTATTACTTTATGACTTCTGAGACAGAGAGAGATACAAAGCAGTAAACCAAGCTATATAGGAGAAAGAGGAGAAGTTAGAGGACTCTGACCTAAACCCAAAGGATGCTGGAGTGGTAAAGAACCCATCAGGTGCTTTACAGACCTATGACAGGTCCAACTCCTGAGCACATGTTTGCGTAGGCCAAAGACAACAACCTGGGGGTATTTTATCTGCCAAAGGGATTAATAAATCCAGTGAGAACAGACCTAGTTTCATCTCTCCCAGAGTTACCTGCAAGTATGTCTCCAGTGCAGTCCACACGCTCCAGTCCTTCAGCTGAGCTCCTTCCTCCAGATACCCTTTTATCCTCTCCTTTCGACACGCTGGCCGGAGGGCTTCATGGGCCTTGTTCCTGGGGATACCCAGCACCTTCTCATGTACATAGACAGACCAGAGGTTGCAGGTGGCCTCCGTAGTGTGAGGGGGGAATTCCCAGCCTGCCCGCTGTTGATTATGTCCTAGTTCATGGATGGGACCCCACAGGCCAGTTGTTCGCATATGTTCCACATTCACCATCTCCTTCACTGAATCCAGATGGCCCATAATGGGGTAGCCAGCATGCATCCAGCCTAGAAGGAAGACATAATGCCAACATCCAGTGTAAGTGATCACCCCAGCACCACAGATGCACTTACTTAGCATGCTTAGCACTATCCATGTTACTGTATATCACTTACATTCCTATTCCATCCAAGGAATAGAGCCCTCATTACCACAGCATCCAAGTATCTTTAATATACTTCCCCACGTGATACCACAAAGCAAGGCAAGTGCTACTATGTCCATTTTACAAACTGGAACCAAAGAGCAGGAAAATTAAGGACAGGATCCCTTTTGAGTGCCTGAATGAATTTTCCAGCTATGTAAATGGCCTTTTTGGCATTTGCACAGAGTCTGCAAGTACCTTTCCAGTGCAGACAAGTTAAGTGCACACATCTATACAGAGCATGCTCAGTAGACTAGATTAGTGGTGTCCAATCTTTTTGCCCCTGGCAGGGCTGGATTAACCCTTTAGTAGGCTTAAAAATACCACTTATGTGACTGAGTATGGGCCAATTAGGAGTATACAGGGAGCGCATCACACGAGACGCGTACTGCACATTAGTATAACACTGCACAGTAGTGTATCACAACAAAAAACATTCTAATAGCCTACTGAGTAGTTGGAAAAAAGTTCTTAGCAATCTTTTGGGCGCAATTACCTGTCGTCAGGTCCAGGGAGTCTCTTTTGGTCTGAGACTCCAAGGAATGAGAGAAGCTAAAAGTGTGGTAGGATGTCAGTGAAAATGTAAATAGGTAGAGATAAGCAAGACAAAAGGTAAAGCAGGGGAGGGGATGAGGAAGACGGCAGGGCGAAAAAGGAAAAAAAGGTCAGAGGGAAACAACAGTGATAAAATACAAGGTGGAAAAGAGGCTGTCTGTGAAAAAGGGAATAGATGGAAATCAGGAAAGTGAAAAAGATGTCAGACAGGTTGTAAGAAGAGAAGCTAAAAATGTGACAGGATGTCAGTGAAAATATAAAAGGGTAGAAATTAAAAAACCAAAACATAAAGCAGGGAAGGGAGGGCAAAGAAAAACAGGGGACAAAAAAGGCCAGAGGGAAAATACTACAGTGGTAATAATAAAGTAAAAAAGAGGCTATAAATAAAAAGGAAATGGAATTTAATGGCAGTTACTGGACAGCTGCCAGCAACTTTTCACAAAAATTCTGCCCCTCCAGCCTTAAAAAGGGAGACAAAATGCAAGTCCATCAGAAACCTAGAGGAATTTTAAGTACAAAGAATGCAGTTCTAGGCAGCTGGCATTTATCCAAGATAACCAAAGTTTCACAACAAACAACTTTGATTTAACCACAGGACAGGACCTCAGTGTTTGTGCACAGACCTTGTGCAGATCATCTGCATGATACTGATTCTCACCCACAAGGGTTGTTCTGCTCTGGGAACAGACTCCATAAAAATAACAGATCCATATCTATCATCCAGTAGACAACAGATCAACTAAGATGGCAAGTTAAAATACTACAAACTTATGCTAGGTTTTCAATGCCAAGCTGAGTTTGTTCTCTCTTTCTACCGCTACCAGCAACAAAAGTTTTGCAGGCAAAGTTCTGCCCACAGTTGCACCCCTTTGTCTTCAATGCACCCCTTTGTCTTCAATAAACATGCAGAGGTGTAAATATAAGGGGCTGTAATTGAAAGTTAGTAAGCAAGCCTGTTACTGAGAAAAAGAAGGAACTGAATCTAGGTCATACTTGCCAAGATATACTAATTCTGCAGAACAACCATGAGGAAGGGGGGAAAAAGGAGTAAAATAAGTATTTGAGCCACTAAAGTTAGGAAGCACTGGGCATTGCACAGTAGACTAATATACTGCACGGTAAAGCATCAGCATCTACACATGCACACCATTTACTGTGCAGTAAATTAGCCTACTGTGCAGTTAGCTACTACCTGTAAATACGTTATGTATAGATGCTGTTATGTATAGATGCTGAGCACAGCAACCCTTTATAGTATTAATTACACCTGTAGACATGCCCCCTGACTGAACACAGCTAAAGGAGCAGATCTACTAAGTAAGAAAGTGCCAACTTTCCAGAGTAGAGCTGCATGTTAAAGCATCTCAGTAGTTTATAAAGCCCTTCTTTAGAGTGTATCTATGCTTTAAGCACACAGAGGAACCAAATGGGCGTGCAGTTCTATTAGGCTTGCATGTTTCTTTCACCCTTCTCATTCATCTAAAACTTTAGTCAATAAAATAGCCTTGGAAGGAACTGGAGTTGTTGTCTGAAACCCTTTCTGTCAGAACCCCTGATATGACCATACACTCACCAGCTGAAATCTGGACATCTGTTACAATCCTTTCTGGCCTTGGGAATTTTGCTGGTGCTGCTGCCAGCGTGGCTATTGCCCACGTGATCTGATCCCACAGGGTCAGCAGTGGCTCTGGGTTCTCTACATGGCGGATGTTGTCAGCAGGCACAGTCAAGATCAGATTCTCAGTCGCTAGTTCTGCCCAGGGAGCAGGGTAGTGCCGGATGTTGGTCTGCCATTGGCGTTTACAGGTCTCTCCTGCATCACACAGAAAACAAATTAAACTACCCCAGTCTCTCAGCTAGGTCTGGTTACACAACACTTAGGAAGCAGTAGTCGGTAACAGTGTCAAAAGAGGGCACCCCTCAGCCAACACTTCTATGCCAGCAAAACCCCTGGTGTGGATGTAGCAATACTGCCAAAAAAGGCCTTCACTCAGCTTAGCTTGGGGGCTACCACCTGTCCCTTCCCATTGAATTCTAATACACCTCTCAGAAACTAGGAGGTGTCAAACTGCACCACATTATTTTAATTTAAAGTGACACAGAGAAAGAAGTTCCGTAGAACAAGAGAAGGCCAATGGGAAAACCAGGAAACTTATCAGAGTGGCTAATTATTTTATTTTTTACTACAATGACTTGAAATAGCCACATAAAGGCATCAAAAGGAAAGCAAAATAAAGAAAAGGAAGCTGGGCAAAATTATTATAACTGGTTGGACTTTTTTCAGCAGAGTGTTTTTTTGTCTTCAGAGAATGTCAGTCTATCAACATCTAAGTGTTTGGGAAAATGTCAATATTTCAGATACTTTCAGATGCCAACCTGGGTTCCAGTGCCAACTCTTCCTCCACCTACTATCCACCTGCAGTAGTCCACCATTTCACAGATGGGGAACTGAAGCAAGAGAGGCTCAAATCTCACCTGGAGTTACCCAGAGGTGTACAACAGCCTAAGAGCTTAGAAACCTGGGCTCCATTTTCTATAGTAACACCCAAACCACTGGATCAGCTTTCTCTCACATACCCATCACAATAGCTTCTCAGGAGAGAGGCACCAAAGAAAAAATACTTACCAAGTCTGAAGAAAGGAGCTTTGATTGCTCCTTCTACAGCAATAGGCACCTTCCCCAGCTGGCTTCCGCCTGGTACGACAATGTAAATGAGGCCACCCCAGAGGCAGGAGACTGACTGGTTCTGGCAGTTGACCTGGCACTTACGTATCACCACTGGGGCCCGCATCAGCTCCTTTGCATTAGTGAGGTCATCAGAATGACACCCAATCTGCACCTGGGAAATGGAAAAAGAGGAAAAGCAAGGTAAAGAACTTGAAGCAAACCCCTCTTTCTCTGTCTTGGGGCCTGTCGTGTACAGAGCATGAAGAAGGGAGTCACTAGTTCCAATCAAACTCAGCCACAGAGTGACCAACAGCAAATGCTGCCTGCTACTTGCAGGGGAAACAAGCTCATAAGATTTAGTAAGGTTCTAGATGGGCAACTCTTCTTTTCACAAAACACCATTCTACCCCATCTCTTGTATGACCTGCCTCCCTCAATGGCAGCTTCGGCAGAGTGGCCAAGAACTGAGAGCACCATTGTGAGTGACATGTCCCTGCTCATAAAGGTGGGAGCACACCCGACGAAGTGTGGCACGTGAGCAAGAGGCTTAGCCTGCTGATGCCTCTCACATACCAGTTTAAGGGAAAACAGCAGGATTCAGCCCCACCATGAAAGCCAGGTCATGTAAAACAGAAAGCCGCATCTTCTTAATGCACGAGGTGCTGCCACAAACTCAGTGCCCAGTGGCTTTCCCCTCCACCTTGCATGCTTGCACTGATGCATTAAAACCCAGTGTGTCTACTAGTCACAGCACTGACTACAGAGCTGGATAATGATAGACGAGCTAGCTTAGATACTGGCAGCGGTCTATCCATGGCAGCATGGAGCCTGGCACAGACTAACATACCCAGCTGAGAATCTGGGTAGAAAGCCTGGGAAGAGCTCTGTGTTATTGTGGCAACAGTGTTAGCAGTATCACTGCTAGGTCATTTAAAGCAAGGCCAAATATGTCAGGGTAAGCTGAAGTCATTGAAGTGACTGTCTCTCTGGGTGTGTGTACGTTCCAGTGTTCCAGGGAAGCACAGAACTGAATTGGTCTCTTGGGAATGTACAGCCTCTTAGGCTGGGTCCACCTTCATTACATCTTTCTGAGCACATCTGCACAAGAATATTAATGAGATGCAATAAACTCCAGCACAGTTCACGATAGAGTTTATTGCTCCAGGGTGCAGCATTTACACATGAGCCCTGGGACCGCAGCATGTTGAGCTAAGACAGTGCAGCCTCGGCTGGCAGGAGGCCTGGGGGAGTCCTGCCAGCCTGGCTGGCTCTTGCCTGGCTCAATGTGCTGTAGAGTGGCTGGCTGGGGCACCCTCATGCCCCAGCCTACACTGGACTGGTCACTATCTACACATGCATTGTGGTAGAATAAATAGCTCTGTTGTAGAATAGTATTTGTGTTGGGCAGCACTATGCCATGGCAGAATTAATTAGTTTACCCTAGCCTAATAGCACAACTTGTGTAGACAGTGACGCTTTACTGCAGAGCTAATTAGGCAACTGCAGTAAGCACCTCATGTAGATGCATCCTTTGTGTAACAAAGAGAGAAGCTCAGCCTTCAGATAGCAGCAAATCCGATTACCCAATTAACAGGGAGAAATGGAGCTACGAGTATACAGCCTGGGAAATATAAATAAATATCACTGTAGCAGCATTGCAATAGCCATGATGGTCTAGGGAATGCATGAGAATCAGGATGTGTTTAGCGATATTTTTTATGGGACCAAATTTGTAGTCAGGAAGGATGTTAGGCAAGCTTTTAGGCACAAAAATCCCCTTCCTCAAACATTTGGGGTGCAGACAGAAGTGCAGCTCCCAGCCGTAACTCAAAACTATTTTTGCAAAGTGTTTTCTGACTTACAACCTTACCCCAGACCAAACAGAAGTTCACTGTTGGTTCCAGGGGAGAAGGGAATCTAGCTGCTTCTGGGAGCCCTGCAGCCAGGTTCCCATATCAATGGCCAGGCTCTCTGCCAGTGATCCCTGTTTTCAGAATGGGAGGGGGAAAAGGCTCATCCTTGGGGCTCCCCAGCTGTTGCTGAAGAGTGGGGTGGGTGAACTGGAGCCTCCACACACACACCTTGGTGGGGGCTGCAATATACCCGCCCCACCCTCCAGACTGAACTCCCTCCGCTCCCTTTCCCTCCTCCCATTCTGAAGAGAGAGACAGGCTGGGAACTCCAGAGACACAAGTTACAAAAGATGCTACATTTTGCAACATCTTTATCTGATACCTCATGCAATGAGGGGTCAGATTTTCACCCAATTGGTCATTTTAAAGCTGTTTGCAACCATGCACTTGTGTTTGGTCACAGCCATAAACTGCTTTCTGTGGCCAGATCAGGCAAAAATTGTCACTTCTATCTGCTCCCTTATGTGGTATCTAAAAACTGGTGTAATCTCTCCCAACTAAATTAAAATCAATGTAATAAATTAGTCACAAGGTGGCAGCAGAGGGCAAGGAATGGGAAAGGATAGGGCAGCCTTAAGGAATGGTTCTGAGCAGTTACAACTCATGTCACTGATACCAAAAGCTCATTAATATATCAGTGCATTAAGTCCACAGAAGTCACCTGCAGACCAGCACTGATTGCCGTACAAGGAAGGGTTATCACAGCCGTGCTCCCATCAGGTAGGTAAAGACCAGTACTTCTCCATGCTGTCCCACCTACAAATGAATCAGAAGACAGGCCTACACATGAGAACTGATTTAGCCTCCGTAACTCCTCCCCATCCTTGTGTTCTGCCCAACCTAACATATTCCTGAGTTTTCAGGGCAAAGAAAGAGCTGGTCGTTTTCCCCTTTCTCAGTCCTCTCAGTCCATGTTTTACCAAACCTGCCCAAAACATGATAGTTCCACATCCTGTGGATGAGTAGCAACCAGTGGTCTGATGTGTCAGAAACTCATTTGTACTGCAAATGACATCAAACAGTTAAAACTCTTCCAAATGCTGTCTGATGTCATTTGCAATGCAAACAAGTTTCCGTGACATCAGACCACTGGTTGCTACTCATCCACAGTATATTGGAACCCACCCAAATTACAATTCTGAGCAATGCCACTAGCTGAGTGCATGACAAATTTAGCACAAAGATCTTCTTCCACCCTTTCCTGGGTCCAATTAGAAGTCTGAGGACCTTTAGCATTCCACAGTAGTGTCACTTGAATCTAGATACCACCCCAGAGAAATGTAATCATCATCTGGCTAGAGATTGTAAACCTGTGATAAGCAGCAAAGCATGGATGTGACGCTCTATACTGCCCAAGCAAAAGAATTCCTTACTAGATCTGCATTAAGGTTGCTCCAGCAGACTGCAAGTCTGAGCATTAACGGCTCATATTGGAGAACCTAACTCTACTGAAGGTAACTGATCTATTTGCATGTGTTACACCATGTCTATATGGTCAAACACAGCACGCTGGGCAGTGGTGCCCTCAAACATACTGTGCAGCCCTATATAGGCTGTCCCCTAAACCAGAAACATCACAGGTATTATCACATAATGCTGCACATGGGCTAATTGGCCCAGGAGAGAACTAACTGGCACAATCATTCAGTGTTAATCAGTTTGCCCAACGCATCAAGCAAACAGGGCTATACTTCTTTTGGTTCAGGAGTCAACTTCCACAGAACAGCACAACATATTTGAAGGTGTCGCTGCCTGGCAAAGTTTGCATTGGAGACATGCTCTGAATGCTCACCAAGGTAAATAAAGATTCCAAAATCTGCCTGAAAAATCTAGGAAATCATGAGTTAAGCAACATCTGATTCTTTTCTGGTCAAAAATCACATACCTTACAAGCCAAGTACTGTACTCTCCAAAACTCCTGGACAAAAATTTGATGCTCAAAATTTTTTGTGCAAATCCAAAGGCACCAACACAGTTCAAAACTTCACTTCTACTTTGCAGGATTCTTCATGTTGAAAATGTTTTTAAAACAAGGTTTAAATTTTTCCATTCAAAACTACTTTTTGCCTAGAAACTTCATTCCATTTAATTATTTTTTTAAATTTAAAATGCTCAAATCATAAGTAGAACATGTGCAATTTGGGGCTGAACACAACGTTTTGTTTGACCCAAAGAGAACAGAAACAAACAATTATGGGAAACTAACTGTAAGCACACAGACAAACAACAACAAAACAGTTCTGGCCATGGCAGTACACTCCAGACATTCATTAACTCTGCAGCTCAACAGTCACTTCTAACATGGGACCACTCATAATGATACATGCAATTCCATACAGCTGCACAAGATGCAAGCGCCCCATCCAGATCAAAGCCCCTGAAAAGAGCCATCATGTTAAATCATGGTATGCACTCAGATAAAAGAGTGAATCTGGCACTGGAGTGCAGTCTCAGCAGGGGGATGCTTAAACATAAATGCACACACATATACACACATGAGCATACCTACACAGCATATCATAGTTTCCCATTGCATTTTTATGTGATTCTATATGGGAAGGGGACAGAACAGCTCACCTGCATTTGTGCCAGCTATTTCCACAGTGATACGAGAGGTGGAAGGTGGCAGGCAGACACCATCACCAGGTTTCTGTACCAGGGCAGCACAGTCTGCCGTGTTTTGGGACAGCTCTGTTGCCAGGCTTAGCAGGACAGCCTCCTTGGAGTTGCTCTTCACTGGGCACTGCTTGCTGACCCGTGGGATCCCAGTTCTACGCAGCACCTTGATCAGGATGAGGTGGAGTGAGTTGTAGGTAGGGCAGTCTTCAGCTGGGATGCGCAGGAAGGCAGAGCAGTCCTGCCTCAGCCTCTGCAGCCAGCTGGTCAAGGGAGGCTGGAAAGGCTCTTCCTTGTCCACATGCCTCTGGAAGAGAGAGAGCGCATGGCGGAAGTGGTAGTGCTCCATGGGGAGCTGAGCTGGGTACTTATCTGCCTTGATGTTCATGCCCAGGATGCTGATGCCAAAGTGGTTGAGGATTTTGTTGCCAGGATATTCAGCGACAGCAGCTCGGTCTTGATGCTGGGAGGCCCAATACCAAGCCTGGCCCCCAATCAGCAGGCCTCCTCCTTCTGCCACAAACGTGTGGATCTTGTCAGCCTCTTGGTCGCTGTATGAAGAGCAGCAGTAGACACTCATGTCATTCCTCAGCTCTGACACCTGGAACTTCAGCCCCTCCTGAGAGAGAATGGGGCACAGCCCCTTCAAGCTGGCAACAACTCCAATCAGCCCTTTCCGCCCAGCATCCAACCAGTTCACAGCATTGAGCAGGAACCTGGCCAGCTTCGGGGCACACAGCTGTCCCTCATGGGATGTCACTACCACACGGCCCTGACCATAGCGTGCTGCGGCAAAGAAGCAGTGTAGTGAGCCATCCAGGCCAAGTGGGAAGGCCAGCACACCATGCACCAGCAAATGGGAGGGTATCCCGCCTGTCACGATATCCAGCTCTGTCACACCATGCATGAGAAACTCCACATCATGAAAGAGATTGGCTCCATGCCTGCAAAAATCAAGAGACACCTCTCCAAGGTCCAATCAACCCATTTTTCCATCCATGCCAGCTTCTGCTGCCAACTGTCATTATTCTGTAGTGATTACCACAACAGCTGGACTTTTTCTTAAAGCCTCAGCTCCTGGAGTCAAAAGACTGTGTGAGATTCTCAGCTTTCATTTTAAATTAAAATGAGTTTCTAGCCCTCATGCTTGTGAAGAAAAGCTTAAATTTGTCACCTGAGTGTACCACGAAGGTTCAAAACACAGAAGACAAACCCTAAATTTATTGTCCTTACAAAATCTCATCCTTGTTGTGCCCAGCTCATGATTTTTGCAGGTCTGACTCATGATTTCTGGACACAGACAAGGCCAAACTTAAGACAGAACTAACCTAACTAACCCATCCCAAAAATGAATCATCTAGCCAAGGTAAAATATTTTCCTGTGCTCTTTCTTTTACTATCAGTCACTGACACACACCGAGTTAAGTCTTTCATCTCTGTAAAGAAATGACCTCTGCTTCTCAGCAGTCCCATTTCTTTTTACTCAAGACTCCTCTTCTTACCCTCTGCTATCTCCATGTGTGTCTCACATGTCAGTGTAGTCAAAAGTCATTGGTTCAGTGTTTTGTTTCAATTCCCTCTTTCCCCTCCCAGGCCCCCCACCCCGCACTTGGCTGTTTAATTTTCCCTCTGTCAGTTGTGAAGAATTTGTTTTTATTGGTAATTTTCCTCCTAAGCAAAAATGCGGCTACTTGAGAATAAGTGAAGCAATCCCATGTGTCCACAGGGCAAGAATTAAAAAACTTAACGTTCCTCCTAATATCTTTTTCCCAGTTTCTTCTTCAAATGAGACCTATCACTGGGGCAAATCAGTGATCTTAAAGCTTAGTTTTATCCTCTGTGAATTAAATTCTCTATTATGCGGGGGATCAGCTCAAATAAAATGTACCATGGAAGCCCGATTAAGCTACACAAATAGGGTGGAAGTCACCCTAAACAGTAATTCAAGGTGCAATTATCTCTGTAGAACTTCTCCCCAATGAAACTCTTGCATTGCTTTGCTGCCAATATGCTTCAGGCAGCAAAACAATTAGTCATTAGCAACTTTAAATTAATTTAGTATGAAGCTGTATCCTTAGCACCTCTAAATCCAATGGTAACATTTCTCTCTCTAAGTGCAGGAAAACAAATCCAGAATCCAGATAGCAACACTCCTAATTGTTCTTCCAAAAGAGAGGGAGAAAAAAAAGAGTTTCCTAAAAGTGCTAACAGGAAGAGGGAGAGGGTGGGAGTGAGAGAAAGGAAAAAAAAAAATGTGTGGAAAATGTTATTACAACTGCCATGCAATATAATGGCCAGATAATGGAAGCAAAACAGTATTGTAGTCATTAAAGACCTTGGTATGCTTTGTATACATCAAAAGCGAGCCATGTCAAGCTCAGAGGAGGAGGAAGAGAATGAATATATGCTAGCCAGATTGTGGGGCCAGCTGGGCATTTGCCTTATCTCCAGCCAAAGTTTTACATCTGTTTTTCTTGTTTTCTGTTTTTCCTGACCCCAAATGACCATGCTGGCAGCTGGCACTAATTGGTATGTGGAAGTAGCTTGCACTCATTCTGTGCCAGGAACCAAGAGGGCAGGTGGCATGCAGATCTTCCTCAGTCCTGGAGACTAATTTCTGAAAGTTCCCAGAAAGCAGGTTAAACTGGTTTTCTGGCTGCCAGACCTAATCTAGCGCAGGGTGTTACCCTGGGCATTCCACCAAATATCCACTTCTAAAAATCCCCAGAGTTTCCTCAAATATAGAAGGAGGGGGGGAATGAGGTACCTCTCCCTTCCCAAAGTTGTTGCATGGTTCACAGAGTTAATTTTGCTCCTCTACAAAAGATGCCTGCATTTCATTCATGATCACAAAGGACCTGGTCCACCTTCTGTGGAGACCATGGGAGACCAACCTTTGGCTTTACTAGAGGAAGACTACAACACAAGTCTATTTGAGGATCTCTCAAAATATGGAGTGTCTTATATTTGGGTAACATAGTCAGAATTAAACACTATTTCAATCTTAATTTCTGTTTTCTAAATCAAAACAATTAGTTGCATTAAAAAGCCACAAAACAAAACTAGCTATGATTTACATATAATTCCTACTGAACTCCCGGACTTTCTCCCCAGCCTTGATTAAGCACCAGGGAAAAGAGCTAACCAGGTGAAGGCATTATATTATCCCTGTTCAGCATCTACAGCACCTGGAGAACAGGGTCAGAAAGTAAAATCCTGATGAGCCACAGGGATCAAGCTCAAGAGGGATCCTGAGGCTGGATACAATCAGCTTGGGAGCCACTAGCTCAAGTACTGCTAGCAACGTAGTCTCAGCAAAGAACATGGCTGGGGCTGTAAAACCCACCTGAGAAAGTGGACAAATATTTATATATTTAGCCCATGCAGAGCTTCACACTGCCGTGAGTAGCCTCATAGAACACCTGTTTAATGCAGGTTCAGGTATGTCAACACAAATTGTAGCCATTGCAGCTCAGCTATCATTGATGCCCCCTACCCTGCTCTTTCCAGCAGGCAGTAGTCTTATTTGGTCCTAACAGCATCTGTTCAATGGCCTGCAGACGTGAAACCCCACAACGTCCGTGAATCCCAAGGTCCCTCTAATACTACTTCTTAGCGTGCAACAATCTTTTCAGGTGCCAGAATCTATGCCAGTGACAAATTAACTAGGACAGTCCTAGTACTGGTTTTTGTCTTGAAGATTATGACTAAATTATGACCTTTTCTTTTGGTATAAGAATGTACATCCACTGCTGAGTTTCAGAAAATGGGGTATTTCCCCTGATACCCTCTGTAAATGTTCTGGGCAGTGGCGATGCACAGGAGGTGCATGTGCAACCCTGAAAGCATCAGTCCACACCTCCCCCATCAGCGAGATCAGCCACAGGGGAGGCACCCCCCCCATCAGCAAGATCGGCCATAGAGGATACCCCCCAGGTCACTGACTGGTCACTGGGGGGGCAGGTAAGGCTACACCAGTCGCCCATGGTTCTGGGAGAGACTGTGCCCATAATGAGAAGAGTTCAGATACTCACCTGACAGTGAGAGGGATTTCTGGTATTTTCTTCGAGACTTTGAAGACACCTGTCTCCACAGCATTTCCTGTGAAGTACACACCAGCCATGCTGGTCACCCGGTTCCCAGGGAATTCAAACAGGACCCTGTCCACACCGTGTTGAGAAGCCCAATGCCAGGCCTGGCCTCCGATGAGTAGACCCCCACCTCCCTTCACAAACTGGACCAAAGCCTTTGCCTGGGTGTCATCATAGGCATCTATACAGTACACCCCGCTGGAGGCAATGAGTCCCACTCCAAGCTGTACTTTGATGCCAGCCCCCAGCAGCAGCTCAGAGAGGGAATCGAAATTCCTATGAACACCGACTAGCGCTCCTGGGGAGGGCCTGAGCCAGTCCACAGCATTTTGAAGGAACTGGGAGAACCTGGAGTTCTTCAAAATCTCTTCGTGGGAAACAACCACTATCCGGCCCTTCCCAAACTGCGAAACAGCAATCAGAACCTGCTTCTGGGGGCTCACCAGCACCGGGAAGGCAGCCTCTCCTGTAAGCAGCAGCTCACAGGGAACAAAATCTCCAGTGAAATCCCACTGCCCAATACCACCCACCAGGCACTCATAAATGGCTGAGGGTTTCATCTTCAGTCTCCTTTTATCTGAGAGAGAGAGAGAGAGAGAGAGAGAAGCAATATTACAGCTCCAAATGCTTTATTCGAACTCTGTAGTCAACTCTGAAGAACTATTGTGATACTGCAGCATTGCCTCTTTATGGTCTCAGTGACTCCAGAGCAAACATGCTGTATTTGCAGAACAACATTTTTCTACCTCCCAACCCTGCAGATTCACTCCATTCTCTCTTTGTGCTCCTGTGCTGCTTCTGTCAGCATCCCACTGGGAGCTGACAAGGACTCTGTGGACCTATCACCTTTCTTAGTTGGTGGGGTGAGGGAACTTTTTGTTTGCTTGGGTATTTTTTTTTAGTGTTGTATTTAGCAATTAAACAGAAAGCAGTGACAAAACAACACAATTACTTTTCACCAGACCAAAATATTTAGACAAGAAAACCATAACTGATTCCATTACACACAGTGAAAAAAGACAGAGTAAAAAAAACTATATGTACATATGTGGATATGTATATGCATTTGTGTGTGTGTACACACACACACACGTATATGTAAGTATGTATGTATGTATACAGATACAGAAATGTATATAAAACCCCAGCAACAATAAACATTTCCCATTCTGATCTTCACTGGGGAGAAACGCCAATGAGTGTGGACAAACACATTCAGCTTAAGGAATGGGAGGGGAGAGGTAGGAAGAACTTTTGTGTAGCCACTCTGATCCATGGTAGTGGACTCTAACTCTTGGTAATTTAGCAGTTTTCTTTTAGAATCAGACTGCCCTCATATGCCTTTCATACAATGGTTACTGCAGATCAATCAGCACGTGCTCTCTTTTCCTTTCCTATGTGCCATTCCTCGCTCCAAAGAAAAACAGCTCCACTACCTTTTAACACTGGGTATAACTTCCCTGTCTGTACTCAGAGACTCCATATCATTCACTAACAACTTCACTATTGCAATTGGCTTTATATGGACGGTGACCAGGTACTACAGCTATGGGCAACACTATTAAAACTTCAGACAGATACGACTTCAGTCCCAGGAGTGTGATTGGCACCTCTGGAAATATCTGGACCGTTGATAAGGTGCTCTAGAGAAAGGAACTGTAACCTAACAAGATTTAGGAGACTCTAGATTTAGAAGGCAAAATTCAGGAGGTTCTGTTCCCAGCTCTGGTCTGCTGAACAGTCTTGGAAAAGTTGTTTCCCTTCTTTGCATCTCAGTTTCCCCACCTATAAGAGGATGAGAATGGTCTTGACTTCCTTCATGAAGTGCTTCCAGACAGATGGTGCCACAGGGCCTTACTGCTTCAAGGCTTTGCTAAATTTACTAGGCCTTACTTTATACAAGGCCTCACTACACCTTAAACTTTAATTAGGCTTTTAGCAACAACATATAGCTTAATATCTAAACAAATACAGAAAAACACTTAGTCTAATCTTCACAGAGCCTTCAGCAAGCACCTTTATCGCACAGACATAATGTCAGCTGTCACAGAAGGGTCAGGGTAACAGCAAGTACACTGCAATGAACCACAAGTTCACCCAAGTTAGCTCTGCCTCTGGAATAAGAGAGTCCCAATACATGAAAAATATGATCTTTTCCTTCTCCTCATTTCAGTCAAAGATGTAGAAATTGGAAATAGATCTAGGTCACTATTAAATCCTGCCTACGTCAGGCTGTCTGCCACCTCCTCAGCCAGTGACAGACCGTGCCTTGCCATGTTTCCTGCAGTCCGATTATGGATGCCACCACGCCTTTGGAGTGACTAATAAGTCTTTGTGAGGAAAGAGAAGAGCCCCAGAGAAGTAACTTGGTCCCACCTGAACTGCAAGAACTGCGCAGGGCTCGTTCTTCACCCGGTGTTTCAGGAGGGGAGGAGAGGGGGAGTCAGCCACAACGCCGGGATAACAGGAGACATGGGGCAGGCAAAAAGGGAACACCAGAAACTGGCAGTGGCCAGCTTCAGCTTCAGCTTCCTTGGCCTGACGAAGGGTTTTTGAACCCAAAAGCTTACTTAATAACTATTCTCCAACCATTTGGGTTGGTCTAATAAAAGATATCAAATTCACCCAAGGAACCTTGTCTGCCTAAGCAGTCTAAAAGTATTTCAGACAGCAGGTACTAGCAGGGAGCTTGCCAGGAACTCTGTATCTCCATCTCCTAGGTCTGCATCAGTCTCTGAAGACTGGAAGATGGGGTGGATTTCATCCTCAGCAAGTTTGCAGATGACACTAAGCTGGAGGGGGTAGTAGATACTCTGGAGTGTAGGGCTAGGATTCAGAGTAACCTAGACAAATTGGAGGATTGGGCCAAAAGAAATCTCATAAGGTTCAACAAGGACAAGTGCAAAGTCCTACACTTCAAATAGAACAATCCCATGCACTAGTACAGGCTGGGACTGACTGGCTAAGCAGCACCTCTGCAGAAAGGGTCGTGAGGGTTACAGTGGACAATAAGATGGATATGAGCCTACAATGTGCCCTTGTTGCCAAGAAGGCTAACAGTATACAGGGCTGCATTAGTTGAAGCATTGCCAGGAGATCGAGGGAAGTAATTATTCCATTTTATTCTGCACTGGTGAGGCCACACCTGTAGTGTTGTGTCCAGTCTTGGGCCCGCCGCTATAGAAAGGTTGTGAACAAGTTGAAGAGAGTCCAGAAGCGAGCAACAAAAATGGTTCAGGGCCTGGGGCAAATGACTTCTAAGGAGAGGCTGAGGGAACTGGGTTTATTTAGTCTGCAGAAAAGAAGACAGAGGGGGAATCTGATAGCAGCCTTTAACTACCTGGAGCATGGTTCCAAAGAGGATGGAGCTGGACTGTTTTCAGTGGTGACAGATGACAGAACAAAGAACAATGGTCTCAAGTTACAGCAAGGGAGGTTTAGGTTGGATATTAGGAAAAACTCTCTCACTAGGAAGATGGTAAAGCACTAAAACAGGTTACCTAGAGAGGTGGTGGAATCTCCATCCTTGAAGGTTTTTAAGGCCTGGCTCAACAAAGCCCTGGCTGGAATTAGCTAATTGGGGATGACCCTGTTTTGAGCAGGGGGTTAGCCTAGATCAGCATTTCTCAACCTGTGGGTCACGACCCAAAAGTAGGTTGTAAAAATATATGGAAGGGTCGTGACCAGACTTTAAAAATGGATCAAAAAACTTTAAAAATGGATTTTCCTTTAAAAGAGAAAAATGTGGGAAACTGTGGCTTTTCCCTTGTAGGCTGGCAGAGTTCTAGACTGGAAGGGGCTGCTTGCCCCCCACCCCTGCCCCACACACACCCCTCCTGCCCCACACACTGGGGGCAGGGGGAGCAAGTCAGGAGTGAGGGGCCCTGAGTTGGGGCTGGCTATCAATGTTTCTCAAACTGGTACAAAAAAGGTTGAGAACCACTGGACTAGATGACCTCTGGAGCTCCCTTCCAACCCAAATGTTCTATATTCTGTGAAAAAGCCTGGATGAGGGGGAGGAAAGGGAGCAGGGTGGGACTTTGTTGTGCAGGTAGCACTTAGAGGATCCAGAAGTCACCCTGCAGGTTGTGCCATCTTTACAAAGCCAGTACATGCTGATCATGATCCACACAGACAGCAGCTTGTTGGAGGGGGATTTCATCTGAAGTAGTGAAGAAGCCAGGACCCATTGGGGATAGAAAGCCCCTGGACATAGACAGCTGAGCAATTTTTGGGGGGAGGGAGAAACAAAGGAAACTCTCAGTGTGCAAAATACTAAAGTTGGGGAAGTATGCATCCTGATTTCACTAGTCTCCAAACTAGTGTTTGCTACAGAGCTCTGTTTTATGTTCTACCACCTTTTGGAGCTTCAGACTCCAAGAAGAGAAAATAGAGCGGAGGTTTGGAATGCAATTCCCCCCCAATGAGCACTGCCAGCTCCCACTGACAAAAACCACATGGCTGCAATTTCAGCACTTGAATCAATTAACTTCCCAGCCTTCTGACCTGAGCCTTCTCCTTCTTCCTCCCAGCATACCTACCCAAGCTACTGTAACAATTGTGTGAACTGCAGTTCCACCCACACAATGAAGAGTTAAAGCCAGAAGTGTCTGCTATCCAAGATGCTGTAGTCATGAAAACAAGCAATAAGCTGGCCTTTCATTTTCCTTAGATAAGAAGCCAGGGTTCTTCTCACTCCTAGCTACAACGAAGAGGCTATGCTTGCCCAAGCAGCAAGAGATCCTGAGAGCCTGCTTTGACCAGTTTGTCTTCTGCTTCAGGAATGCCCTGTGGAAGACCAGGAACTTGCTCATAAACAGACACACAAACCTCTCAGTAGAGGGCTGCATCAAAATGGGACTGAGTGAAATGTACTGGTACTACAGAGAGATGGCAGGCATCACGTGGAAGAGAGGGGCCTGCCTCTCCATAAAGCATCCTTCCCTAAATGCACGACAAACTGGGCACTGATACTAAAAGGCTTCGTGATCTTCAAGTGTCCCAGGAAGCGCCTGGAAGGGGTTGGTGAGTCAAGCACAGTACTTAGCACTGCTGCTTACTGCAGCCCCAGGCTGGAGCAGGGCAGGAGCAACCCTGTCTTTTCCCCCACCCCTAGAGCAACTGGGAAAGAAGCAGTGGGTCCCCCTCCTCCCCCTGTGCCAGGAGGAAATTTTTTTTTAGACAAACACTGCTGGAGAAGGGGAGAGGCAGTGCCTGTGTGAAAGGGTTCATGGATTCAAAAAAGTCCCTGACAGCTGCTGCTGTTCAGTTTGCCCACTGACTTCCTTATTCTTGAATTAAAAGTACCTGGTTTTCTTTTTTGTTAAAGAGCCTGCCTCATTGGTTATCAAAACACAGGAAAAAACATAGGCTATTGGTAGCATGCTCTGGAGGGATATAGGTATGCCTGGTAGTGAAGAGAACCACATTCAGTAAGTCAGTTATTTTGTACTACTTTGAATCATGGTTTCCCTCCCACCCCCAAAATGAAGCTAACACAAATCAGAAATGTGTTCATGACTTGTTATTTGAGGCCACATTTTTAAAGTAATGCAAATAACCTTTGTAACTATATCA